CCATCTACGGGACATACGGGTATTAGGACACACCCTGTATATCGTTCTGTCCTTTAGAAGACGCGGACAACTCCACTCACAGAACGCTGGGTCTATATATACATATATGTCTATGGATTGGTCCTACCATTCAAGATGACCTCTTCACAATACTACCAAGATTTCGCACCTTTAAATACGCCCTGACTGCAGATATTACAAAAATGTACAGGCAAGTACTTACTGATTCCAGCTAAACACCTCTTCAGCGCATTCTATGGCGCGATTCTGTTGATCAACCGATCCATACATTTGAACTTCTCACCGTCACATATGGCACAGCGTCCGCAGCATTTTTAACAATCTGATCTCTCAGGAAATTGGCGGAAGATAGCTCCATCAAGTATCCTATTGGCTCTAAGCTGGTTTTAAGGGACTTTTACGTTGATGATCTGGTTACCGGCGCAGATACACTACAAGACGCATTTTCCATCAAGGAAGAAACATATCAGCTATTGCAACAAGGTCGTTTCGAGTTGTGCAAATGGGCGTCTAACGAACCGACCCTTCATGGTGACTCACATCACGAAAAGGAATTTATTACATCTAGCAACAAGATATGCGAAACACGAGCTTTAGGTCTCGTGTGGAAATGCGCCTCTGATCAATTCAGTTTTTCAGCTCTTGCTTATCCACCACATTTGTCTGAACAACCAAAAAAGTATTCTGTCAAGAATTGCATTGGTATTCGATCCGCTTGGGCTACTTGGTCCTGTAACTGTCATCGCTAAAATTATCATGCAAGATCTTTAGCGTCTAAAATTGGATTGGGATGAATCCCTTCCGTTGGATATAGACAGCAAGTGGAAGCAATATGAATCTGAACTAGCACTGTTAAAGGATATAGTCATACCACGACGAGACATTACATTGGACAAACCTGCAGTTTTGGAACTGCATGGTTTTGCTGATGTCAGCGAGCTCGCTTATGGCGCATGCATCTATTTGCGCACGACTGATGACAATGGGATGCATTCTACCCATCTAATCTGCTCAAAAAATCGAGTAGCTCCATTGAAGTGTTTGTCTATACTACGTCTAGAATTAGGCGCACCCTTACTATTGGCGCAACCAGTCAACAAAGTCGTAAAAGGCTTAGATCACAGTGTGAAATCGATATGTCTATGGACTGACTCAACCATTGTATTAGCTTGGCTTCAATCTTATAGTCGCAGCTGGACTCCGTTTGTCGCCAACCGGGTTAGTGAAATCCAACACTAAGGGCCAGTTTCACAAATGTCGTTTAACCGCTAATCCATGGTTAATTGATCCTCTGTCTCTTCTTGGATAACAAGATTGAGAAAAATAGGAAATCGACTGAACGCTGGTTAACAGTTAACCGACGTTTGAGAAACTGGACCTTAAGAAGGTACGATTATTACTTGTGAGTCAAAAATGCAACTGAAATAAATGTCACTACAGCGATCCCGAATTAGATGCAATATTAGTGTAATGAATTATGGATGCTACTTATGCTACATTCTTCATAAATTATTAGTGTATAGAATATTAAGAAATATATGCGAGCGTCAACGACTTATCGAAAATACATTTGGCAACATTGCGCTTCAGTGACCGACTATGGCGAGTGTGGCGGATGATAAAAATGAGGCTCAGAGCCGGTATAAAGGTAAATTGTGTACAAAGAGAAAAATTAATAAAAATTAAATGAAGAGAGAGTGATGTTGCTGCTATCAAACGAAGACGCACGGCATATCAACAGCCAGGTAGATATATAATATAATATTCGATACCTGTCAACGTACATAACCTTTTTAATTTCTTTGACTGTGTTTAGAACGGTGATACTATCAATTCTATTTTTCTTTAAATAGCTGAGACTAATTATTTGACACTTACTGGGCGTTGACTGATAGATTTGCACGTGCTCGCCAACGAGTTATGGTGCAAGTCATGTAACGTCCCAACATCGCTGCGGCATGTAACGAAAGAGGATTCTATTGGACTTGCCAGCATTTTTCATATCACTTGCCAATTATGTCAGACGAAATATGAAGTCAACACGTCAAAAATAGAAGAATCGCCAAAATTTTCGAAACCAACATACACAATCAATACTAAAGTTGTTATCGGTTAGTAATCTGTTGCATAGTGTAACATGAATTTTTTTAGCATGATCGATTGAGAAAATTTAATTTTATAGTAATTACTTGCTATTATAGGAACACTTGAAAGTGGAATTGGAGAAACTCATTTAAATAAGATTTTATCAGCGATAAATGTTCCTGTAATGCACAGTTCTCTTTATAAACGCTGCGAGAAAAAGGCAGGCAAATCCATTGAGTTTCTCGCTAATCAAAGTTGCTTGAAAAATTTGGAGACTGAAAGAGCGCTCACGATTGAAAAAGAAGAGTAAGAATAACTTCTCTTTGGCCTATCATTGACAATTGCACATCTTTCTTTTTTTCATATCTTTCTTCTTTCTTTTCTACCTTTTTACGGGTTTCTTTCTAATTCCTTTTCCCTTTCATCGTCGGTAGCTTGATTCATTTGCCTACTTGGTCAGAAGATATGGTAGTATACATAACTGCAAGCTATGGCCCAGACAGCACCTGACATCCCATGGATATCCGTTTCGTGTCCATTTCATGTCGGAATATCCGTGGACTTTATAAAACATCCATAAGATGTCCATTTGTGGACACACTTTGAATATCCCAAAATGGACATGTTTGAATGTAGGTACTCATAGTACAGAAATTGGACCATTAATGGATGTGTCTCTATACGTCATATTGACTGTGTCCAGCAGAAGTTAGCGCTTGCTAAGCGC